CCCCAAAACCCCAAAACCCCAAAACCCCTAGATACAGAAATAAACTGAGTCAGGAGAACTAAAAATTTAGAAAATAGAAATTTATTTATAAATTAATCAACTATGTTTTAAAATCTCCTAGGTGGAATTACATCTATGCTCAAGGGCTAGGGTAAAATCTATGTAGTTTAGAACTACACCCTAGTGGAGGAAGCACTGCTATCTGAAGGTGGCTTCGCTTATGTATATAGAGTTCATGAGTTGAATGACCCTTCTAAGAAGTATGCCCTCAAGCAAATAAGAATCCTGGTAAGCCATTTAATTGATTCTAAAGGCCTTAATTGCTTAAGTTTGATGATGATTAATTATATATTTTAGGATGGTAAATTGCAGAAAATGGTTAAGTCAGAAGTTGAACTGTGGAGAAAGCTAGGGACTCATTAGAATATTGTGAGATTTATAGAATCTTAATAGACTAAAAACCCTGATGGTACCAGCGATATGTTAATACTGTGTGAACTTTGCACGGGAGGGACAATAATTGACTTTGTAGAGAAGCGGAATTAAGTTCTGTCAGAATCAGAAATACTTCAAATAATGAATGATATGGTATAAGGGATTAAGTTGATGCATACTAAAGGCATTGCTCACAGAGATCTGAAAGTCGAAAACGTATTAATCTAGGATGGAAGATTCAAGCTTGCTGATTTCGGATCAGCATCAACTGACTTCTTAGACTTTAAATCTGCCACAAAGCAGGAGATATCTAAAGCAATGGAATCTTATGAGAAATATACTACTTTAACTTACAGACCTCCTGAAATGATAGATCAATATGCTTAGTATACAGTAGATTTGAAAGTTGACATCTGGATGCTGGGCTGCATTTTATATACTATTTGCTTTGCTAGGCATCCCTTCTAAGATGCTTAAAAACTGGCAATTCTGAATGCACATTATATTATGGTGAACAATGACCAAAAGTATAAATATATCTCTGAGAAAATGAAGGATTTTATCAGATTAATGCTGACTCCTGATCCTTCCAAAAGACCAAGCATTCATGATATTGAGTTTATTCTAAATAATTACCAAAGTATGGAATAAATATAGCTTAATGATGATGCCATGCAAATTAAATAAAGACAATCAGTGCATGAAAATACTAACCAAATAAAAAATAAATAGCCAGTCGTAAAAAGTTAAGCAATAGACAATAAGAGCAAAGAAAACGATATCAATTTTGTATTCTAAAAAGATTAAGTTAATGATACCATAGCAGAATAAAAAGCTGAAGAAAATTCGAATGCTTTTAGTTGGGATTCAGACTGGGCTAGTAAAATAACGAAAGAATAAATTTAAGAACAAAAAATTGAAATAGATTTGGATTTTAATCCTTTTAAGGATGTAAGTTAAAACGATTTAGAATCAGTTAAAATATCTGATAATACAGATAATAAAGGAGGGTTTTAATTATCTTACAATCCTTTCGATTATGTGACTAATGTGATTTAATCTATTGCTGAGAGATTTGACAAGCAAAAAGAACTAACAGGGGATTAAGACTTTGAAGCGTAAGTTGAAGTTAATTAAGACAATAATAATGATTGGAAATTTTCATTCGATGAGTTAAGTAAAGGCAAAGCAGATTAGCAATTAGATGAATTTGATGTAAACCAAGATGAAAACACCAAAGACAGCTGGACGTCATGGTAATATTGATTTTTTAATTAACTCATAGGGACACAGATGAAACAAAGAATGACACAACTAAAATCATTGAATTTGATAATCAAGAAGAAGATAAGGCAATGAGTGAACCGCATTAGCGTATGACACACAAACCCAATAAATTTGATGATGAGGAAGCTCCTAATATGTTTAACCAGATAAGTGAATTAAAAAGTGGAAAGAGTAATACAAATGTTAGTTAATTATCTATAGAAAAAATAGATCCTAATTCCTCACGAAAGTAGCATAATCAATAAAAAGGGATAGCAAAAAGTTGGTGCAACTCTTTTAATAGTTCTTAATCAAAAGAATAACCTCAAAGAAATAATATTTGCACTTGGACATCAGACATAGTTACTAAGTTTAGAGAATTTATGTCCTCAACAGAATGATTGATCAGTAAGTGCTATTACTCAAGCATTAAAGGTTTATAATCTAAGTTAGATTAAAAGTTTTATTCAACTTTATTTTACTGAATATTTATTTCTTAATTTAATGGCTAATTGAGAATGAGGGGTTTTGGGGTTTTGGGGTTTTGGGG